GCAAGTGTGTGCTTCCATTGGTGTTTTGTTGTAAGTTTAGGAGGATCTGAAGTAATCAAGCTGTTAGCAGTTCTAATAGTAGCTTTGTCCTACAGAATGATAAGCAGTCACTGTTGTAATATTTGCTGATATTGTTGTCTCTATTCTGGGCCATAAATGCTAAGTTCTGTGTTACATCTCACCGTTACGTTCCCTGCTAGGGTCAGGCAATGTAACAAAAACAAACGCAAGGGAAAATAAGGAAAGTAGAGACAACACGGATAGGGCAAACAATAATCAAGAATGTATTATCCTTAAATTAACTCCCCAAAAACTCAAAGTGCCAAAGAAACAAAGTCAAAACAAAACAGGCCTCCAGCAACAGGCCCTAACGTGGTTCCCTCTCGGACTCTCACGCCGAGGCTGGTGGAATGGGTCTGTCTGGTGGCAGCCCAAACCAGCCAAATGCCTCTTCCCCTGCACAATTCCCTGGATGATGTGTTCCAAAGCTTTTTAAAGGGGCCGGCACGGGATGTCTGCTGGGGTGCCTGCAAAACATGGAAAACAAATATACAAGGGTCACCAACAATGGTCAGGGACTTAACACTCACCTGTATTCTATTATTCAACCCTTTGACATTTCTTGTTCCAATGTATGATGACATTGATCACCGTTGGACAGCTAAAACGACATCTGATGGTCTTTCATGAAAATGGATCATTAGTCATCATCCAAATTAAGTACTGTATGGACCTATAACATGATGTATAACTTTCTTTTCATGTGGAAAAAGTCCACTGTTCCAGTAGTCTCTAATGGTCAAATTATAATAAATGCTGAAGAAATGTGTGTGTTGAATGGTTGGGAGTGAGTGCTTAAAGACTGGCTCCTTTTAAGGATGAAGACCATGACATGGTAGTTTCAATAAATAGACCTTGATGTTTTGATGTTAGGACAATAATGAATGATTTTACGTTGTTTTTTTTTGTTATAAAGGCAAGCAGTTTACCAGTCTAATGATAGCTAATTAGTTGCTCATTCCACCACTTATGATGTAGAAATATCCTCACATCTATAGGATGGGTTAGCACAAAATGGAGACCACAAACTCAAAGTTCCCCAGAGGATATATTCTCTGGACTTTGCTAATTAATTATATTTATGGCCGGCCCTCTGCTGCGCGTCAGGCCTAACAACACTTTTTTGGTAGGGCCAGCCAATCAGTTTCAGTAAACATCCCAGTTTAATATAATAAGGACATTCATACAATTCAGTATATTATATATATATATAAAAAACAATATTTTGTATATGATATACCTATGATATAACATCATAACTATTTTATATAAATATCATTTTTGCAAATCTGTTAAAAATAAAGAACGAAAACATAACATGTACGTAAGTACGTGAACCACATGAACATAGAAATAAAACAAATTTCCATGACTTTTCCAAAACTTGAGATTTAATTTTTTTCCATGACTTTTCCAGGCCTGGAAATTACCATTTTAAAATTCCATGACTTTTGAGCTGAATGTATATTTGTGCAATTTGCATGTGCTATGCATCAGGTACAGCTCAGCTTATCACTGGCGTTTCAACTTTTAATGAGCCCAACTTTGCAAGCCAGTTGACTTCACTCACTTTGTGTTTAGTCTGAATAAACTTCCACACAAAAACTTTGTAGGCACTTCAATTATTCCAAACAAACTAGAACACTTAAACATCTCAGAACAGTGTTCCATTTTATTTTATTTTGCACAAAAGTTCCATTCTCTGCAGCAATGATTACAAGACTTGCAAATAAATTGGGGATTTACAGGTTTGGCAGTGACATCCCTAACTCACATTAATGTGTTATGTGGCTAAATCTGCATCAATAAATGAAGCTTGAACATAATGGGGACCGGTTAAAGGAAGTTTTATGTTTCTATTTTTAAGTCAATGTAATTGCCCTCAATTTAGCTCCCCCGTTAAATGGCAGCATATGTGTTGAGATGTTAATCCAATTACAGCAGCAAACGCAACTGAGAATGTCACATTGGGACCACAATTAGGGCTCAACACTAATAGTATAAAGTGATTGCATATTATCGCTGATCTGGGTTGGCAGGTACAAGTCCAGAACAACTGGATATCACCTCACAAGAGGTGCAGCAAGAGGGGATTGCATTATCCCACTCAGGAAAAGTGGTTTCAGTCATCGACATTTTCAGTACAAAGTGCACCACAATGGAGCTCAATCCCAATGACCATTGGACCAGAACGACAAATATGCAGTTCATTTAAAGCTAATTTGAAAAAGTGGTCGGTTTATTACCCAGCGCTGTCAGCCCTCCATTTCTCTGCTGTCACCTGTCTGTCTGTCAGGAAATGGCTTGTCGGCCCTCATCTACCCATGTCACATTTGTAATTCTGCCTTAAGGTTTATTTTATAATCTTCCTCTTGGGACTACGGCTGTAAATAAGCCTTTTGGCTAGCTCATTTGCGCATTTACAGAAATGGTTTATTAATATGCCCTGTCTCATATCAAATAAACAAATAAAATAAAGTAGCTGATTTCAATAATCTGATGTTGACCTCTGGGAAAAACATCACAGTCTCAAGGAAAGATGGTTGGAAGAGTTCATGAGGAGTTAGGAAAGGACGAGGTGGTGTTTAGGGAATCGATTCCACTTCCACTAGGCTGCGTAGTTGTGATAGACGGAGACGCATGTCAGTGACGTCAGTCTGCAGCGACAATAAAGAAGCATCTCAGATGTCTTCATGTGTTGTTACAGTGTGAGTCATGCAGATGACAGCCAGGTTCAAAGTATTACTTTAAAGAGGTTGCAACATAAATTATTTATGCTAATGGTTACTCACATGATCTATTTACGTTCCTTGGTCATGATCGTTAACTCTTGGGAATGGCCCAATGATACAATCAAGTTGTAGAAACATCTCAAGGATTATCAGTGGAAACTGTGCCATGACACTGAAATTTTCAGTGTCATGGCTGAAATTTTCAGTGTCATGGCAAAGGCTGTGAATACTTACGTACATGTTATGTTTTCGTTTTTTATTTTTAACAGATTTGCAAAAATTTGCAAAAAACAGTTTTCACTTTGTCATTATGGGTTGTTGTGTGTAGAATGTTGAGGGAAATAATGAATTTAATCCATTTTGGAATAAGGCCGTAACAAAAAGTGAAGCGCTGTGAATACTTTCCGGATGCACTGTACGCTGCTTAAATCTCTACAGGCACTCATTATCTGTCTCCTTGACTATTGCAACAACCTTCTGGCTGGGTAGTGCTGGATCCACCTTCAATTTGTTGTTCTTGACTTGGTTGAGGGAGCGGTCTGCTTTTTACTCTTCAACCCGGGCTTTAACTAATCAGGTTGTTTCCAGTAACCAGAGCAAACTGTCAGGAATGTTAATATTCCGATGTATATCCTTCCTCATGGCGTCTGCCACATGCAGCACAGCCTGCGGTCATGCAGAACAACTGGCAAGACGAGGAAAAAAGAGAGGAAGTCAGGGCTTCGGTCAACGAGGTGTAATTGCATGTTTTCTGGGCAGCGGCAGAGCAACATGCTTTTTTAGTGGTGGGAGGGTGTTGAATGTGTGTGTCTATACAATATGATCCCTGTGACTTTTTCCGTACGTTGTGCATGCATGTCTGTGGGCAGTGAGGCAGTTGGCTTGTTTTATATCAAACCAGCGAATGCATGCACTTATTAAACTGTAAATGGTTGTTTATCCTCAGCAGTATAGGAAAACAGTGCAGTGCAGAGTCCTTTAATGGTTTCTGTAAATTTACATAGGCTCTAAATACTAAACAACTCAACATTTGGTCCCACATCTCACAGCTTGGCTGCGCACATTGTCCCATCGTACGAGGCAGTGAACCACAATACCAAACAGGGGCATTTTATCTTTTTGCTTATGCCCAGATAAATTCTCAGGATTAGTAGATATCATACAGAAGACTACTTAACTTTAAGGCTTTTGAAATTACACTGAAGAATCCTTTCCCTAGGGATGCATTTCCCTTAAGGAGAGGATTTATTCCCTCTGTGACAGCATTAGAGTAATGAGTAGCTCCCACAGAAAGCCACTGTGTTGAATGTAAACACTAAGGGAATGTTAATTAAGCCACTCACACACATAAACACATTCAGTGGGTCATTTTGTGCTCTGGGGATACAGAGAAACCTCAGCTCAGGATGTAAAAAGCTGTTACTTAAAGTAAAATGTGCTAAAAGTGATCTAGCTCCTTATGTTTCCATCAGTGTGGACTGCACAGTGGTGGTCCGTTGAGAATTACCAGAGGGAATAATGACAGTTCTTTTTTAGCAAAGAGTTATTTACTCAACTAGGGAATAGAGCTGCCAGATTAATGTTGGTAACAAACAAATTTCACTTACTGTGAAAGATTGGCCTCACTAGAGGCCTAAGTTATTATGAAAATACCTTGTCGCGTCATTCACATGTACTGTAGGCTACTACTTCATTAGTAGGATTCATGTTTACCGATTAACCATGTTCAAAACAACAGAAATAACTCAAAGTTCTAATATATGGGAAATATCTTTCAAGGTTTTTAGTTGCTAAATTCAGCATTCAAACAAACATAGCAATATTTGAATGAACCATTCGATTGCATTTCTGTGATGAGTGAAGCAGCTGGATGATGTATTAAAATGACCAGCTCTGCGTGGCCGACCTGGTTCCCGCATTGGATCGCTCTGTTTGGGTTCAGGCTCATTCAGACTCCTTACTCACAAACTTATTCGAATGTTTGTGTGTGTGTGTGTGTGTGTGTGTGTGTGTGTGTGTACGTGTACATGTGTGTTAAACCAGAGTTTGTCAAAAGCAGTGTCCAGCAGAGGGCCTTCTTTTATCATTTAAACATAGGAAGTCATTAATAGGGCAAAGGGGTACACAACTTGTGCAGACCAACACACCACACACAAACAAAGAGAAACCAATAACAAGCCACCTTTTCCTGTTCTGGTAGAGCCAACAAAAAAACAAGTACTTCTGTGAAATTACTCTTCTGACGAGGTGCATTTGTAGAATGAGCTAGTAACTAAAGGTGATTATGTAGCGTTTATTCAGCGTCGCTCTAGTTCGAGAGAGAGGGTGCGTGTGTGAGTGAGTGAGTGAACTTTCTATGAATTACAGTAGGCCTTACCAGTTCCCGACTAATGTGTCTGAACTTCTAGGAGGAGAGAAGTTTGTGTCTTGCTCAGTGGTCCTGCCAGCGTTGTGTCTTCTGTCACGAGTGATGGAGGTCACTGAGGACGACCCAGCTTACATGATCAAGCACACATGGAGGGTCGTAAAGAGAAGACTAACATCACATGGCAGAGAGTTGCAACAGCACTTGACCCAAGGTCAGATTGTCATGCTTCATTCTTTCTCATACTCTTCCTCATTCTCTGAATTGTTTTTCTCTCAGTGTGTTTGTTATGTTGCTTGCTTCTTTACTTTGTATTTTCTTAAATTACCACTGTAAAGACAGGGGTATTGTCGCAATTTTGTTATACCTGCACCTGTACTTGTGTTAAAAATGCCTTTAATTTTATTTTAAGGTTTAACGACCTCAAGTGTATGAACAAACAGCCATGGTCTTCCTGCCATATTTGTACATAATGTCTAAGACTACTGTATGTATAGCTTTCTTATTTACAAATATATGAACTCAATGGAGTAGCGTAAATTCCCATTTCATTGGCAGCTTGCACATAGACCATGATTGTTTTCTTATCAGCATTCTTCTCCCACACACACACACACCCATACGTTTGATTCCACTAGGAGCGTGTGCACCTCTATCTGTATGTGACCTGGCTTAGCTCCGTCCTCCGCCTTGCCACCTGCCCCACGGGGAGCGTTTCTGAAGCAGAGCCCACGAAAATGATTATATATTCAGAGAATCTTCCATTTTTGCAGTCAAAGCTAAGTGTCAAAGTGCAACTGCAGAAAGTCAACCTTTGGGCTCTTGTTTGCCTCCCTCTGCTTTTTTACTGCAGTTTTATGTCAGATCAGCAAGCCTCATATAAACATACTAATACAATACTAATATACTACATCGAAAGAAAGGCCATAGAATGAAAGTGTCTACAAATAACAGTGGTGACAAACATTGAGAAGGCAAAAGGCATGCGCTAAACCTGTGAGGGATCGCTCAAACTGAGATGAGAAACAGACAGTCGCTGCCGATGTTTTAACAGGACATGTACAACTCAGCAATGTTGATTATAAAAATGTTTAAAATGATACCAGTAGAGTAATATTCAAACAGAGACCTGTTTTCTAGGAAAGTTCCTAAGGTAAAAAAAAGAAATCATTGTTATTACTTTTTCTTACATTTTTGCACATCTTTCATTTAAAATCCAATGTTTTTGTTTGACTTAAAGCATACCTGCACTGGTAACATATCACCCCTCAGACTACGGATTCCAGACAAAAGTCAACTCGAAACTTCTACCTCTAAAACATCACTTTAATTTCCTGCAACCATAAATCAGCAGTTACCAGACAACTTCAATAAAAACAAACAAATCCCCCGGAGATTTGACTGAAAGCATTTTACCCCCTAAGATAAAACAGACACACATATACACACAGAAAATCCATTGCTCATGAAATGAAAACACATGACATAAAGTTCTATATCTATACGAGATCATGGTGGACAAAAGAAAGCCATATTTGCTTTATCTGGCCTTTGTCCACAAACCACAAAGGCTCAGATAAGCTGCAGGTGAATACTGGGTTATTCTGTGTTTTTATCCGAGACACAGAACAGTAAAAAGGTTGGCAGAAAAAAGCAAGGTCACAAAGATGGAGGTGGGCAAGGGTTAGGGGAGAGGAAGAGTAAGAGTGAACTCATGGACATAAACAATGTGCAGATGAAGTACAGAGCAACATGTACACAGCAAACAAACAAACATTCAGATGTATAGTCCCGTCACTGACCTGGTATTAACTTTTAGTTGTATGTGTATGGCTCCCTGTACCAGTGGGAAGGATACGGCGCTTTGAGAACATGATCAGTACTCCTTGTCGTCGACGCTGTCGGAAAAAAGTGTTGTAAATAATATTTAATATTCAGTTGGAAATTGAGATTCTATCACTATTGGTCACTCAAGCCACATGTGGAGATACATTCGAATGCCAGAGCTGTCAACTTATGGTCAGATCACCCAATGCATAGGCTTCTGGTAGGGAACCATAACATCAAGCCAACCATCACACTGGAAAGTTGTAATCATACTAATTTCCACTATATTCATCTTACCATTCCAGTTCAGGCTACTACATAATAGAAACCTTTAAATGGGATTCATATTTTTGATGCAAAAAACTTTTTTCCATTTAATCATTGGCTTTCATTTAATATCTTGGTGAGCAAGTTCACACCTAGAGCCTTACACAGTAGTAAGGCTCTAGTGTGAACTTGCTCACCAAGATTCACAATGACGAGAAATATCCTGGTGGAGAGCAACTACAAAGAATTCTCAACTTTTTCTTTATGCTGACTGAAATGAGGAAAGCCCGGGGTTGTAAGCATTTCACTGAAAATCAATTCCTTGAAATCTTTTTCTTTTCACCTCCTGCTGCAGCATCTTAATAGCTGGTCTTACGCAACACCCCCTGGTATTCCCAGCTTTTATCAGCTCCAAGAGTCCATGTGCTGTTTTATACATGAAAAGCCTATCATTGGGACTATGGATAATGTGTGTGTATTCCCAGTGCATCTGTGCATGTGCGTGTTGTGCTGTTTGAGTTTGGCTAATAGGACAGAGACAAAGCTGTTGCTAAGCTGGATCTTTCGCTGCTGAAGAAATGCAGTGTTTGTGCTGGGTTGTTTGGGTGCCACCTCCCTGGAGATGCCCTGAGCTCTGGCACCCTGACCAGGACTCTCTGGCTGTGTGGTGCCTGGATCAGTGGGTGTTCTTTTACCTAGGCCCTCATCTACTGCAGATTTGTTTTGAAGACGTGGGTTAAGTTGGAAATATGAATTAGAATTAGACGAATCTTACTTCAGAACTGTTCTTAAATTTGAGTTGAATTTAAAATCTGTTCATAGGTTCATGATGTGTGTGTGTGTGTGTGTGTGTCCAGAACACAATGGCAGTCAGGCTCATAATGAGGCTAAGAGGCCCTCTGACCAGGCTTTTGAAACACTGGGCAGACACTTGGCACCCACTGGGTACTACATCATTTGGACAAAGAGGTATTCATGGGCACATATATGCACAGCCATAGACATCAACACACATTTGACGCTGTTATCATTCACATGAGTGAAAAAAAGTTGAAATTGGTCGTAACGGATGATTTAATGCCATATATTATGTAAAACTTTACTTTCTCTTCCCTTGTTGTTAAAAATTATTTATAATGGGATAACCGGAAGTGAAGCAAAATGTATACTTTAGACCAGGGGTCTTCAAGGTTTTTCAGGCCAAGGTCCCCCAAACTGATGGCGAGATGGAGCAGGGACCCCCTATTCTACGGAGTTTGGTCCGCCATCTTTTATTTTTGCGCTCTTTAGACGTGAGCATGAACGCGATCTGATTGGCTGGTGTCTGTGCTGCCGTATTTACATAAAAGGTGCTGTGAGTGTCCAGCTTGAGAGAGCTGCTGTGGGAAGATGAATGTGTGTCTTGCGGACTGAAATATGACGTCTTCTCCATCAATTTATCCGTTCGCTACAATATGTTAGATTCATGTTAATGTGTATTTAAAGACAATTCTGATGCTGAAGACATTTAAATTTGTGAGAAAAAAATTGGTTGAAAAAAAAAAAAATCAACCAAAGATTTCGCGACCCCCCTGCAGTACCTCCGCGGACCCCCTGTTGAAGACCTCTGCTTTAGACGTTCATTACTTCTTTTGGCAACCAGGCAGCAACTGCTTAGAAAAAAGACGCCTGGTTCCCCTAATTATCCCTTGATTTATTCCTCTCGTAAACATGAGTTTATGGTCTCAATTGCTAGTTTCAAGTTTTCTTCAATAAAGCATGATGCTCATTTAGAAAATGATGGTCCAATTAGAGTCAACTAGATCATAAAGCAGTGCATACTTTAGGACGCTGCTACCATGTGATCAACAGGTTGAGCCCTGGCAGTTGCCTGTGTTTACTTTAACTCTGCCCAGTGTGTTCTTAATTCCTGAAGATAAATTATAAGATTTTAGCTTTCAATTTTACTCTGATCCTTTTGTGTAGCTTGAAGTTGCTTCCATCACACGCTGTGTCCCAGGTAGCCGAAATTACCTGGCCCAGATCCAGTTTAGCTCGGCACCCCGGAAAAAAGACGTTGGGACAAGTCCGCTTGCCGAACCCGGCTAAGACTCGGGATGAATGACGCCCCAGAATTGGGCCAAATACACTGTCCCGATTCTGTCGGCCCGGAATGGGGTTGAATATATTCTTAATGTCACAAAAAAACACTTACTTACAAAAACAAGCCACTCAAGATCACTGTTGATGATCTGGTGATGCACTGGTTTTTATCACTGGTGATAAAAATAACACATATACACTACACACTATGTTATAATATTATTTAATATTACTCAAATAAGACAGACCAACATGTTAGTGAATTTATAGAAAGCACACTGTTAAAAGGGTCAAATTATATTAAATCAAAATAATTAAAACTCATACATCAACACTGGTAGCAACCTTTCACTCCGGCCAAGATCCAGAGGTTGCAGTCTGGTAGAAACTGAGACAAGAAAGACTGTGGGTGACTGATAGTGGTGGTACTCTTCAGACAGTGTGCAGCGCAGGGTAGATGTTGACATAGGAGGTAGCCTAGCAGCTAGCTTAGCCTTGCAGCTAGCTTACTCTATCAGTGTGTAACGTGGTCTGTTTGCCACTCATCCCCATTCTGTTTGAAACTTGGAGGAATTCCTCTGCACAGTTGTCCGCTGTATTTTGCGCCTTTGTTTTCCTTCCAATGCAAAAAGCTTGGCCTCTGACTCCTCGTACTACAACTAGCGTCGGTTTCGTTTCCGGGGTCACCCTCGTTTACTTCCGGTTTGCCATAAGTAAACAAAGATGACCCTGCTGACGAGGATTAAAATACCAGAACCTGTTTCAGTGCTGGTTGTCGGTAAACCCAGCAGCCATGTCCCAACCAGAATAGGCCCAATTCTATAATGCCAGATCCCACACAGGTTCGGCAGCCGGCAATGGGCCAGAAACGGCTTCAGTGCTGGTTGCGGATAAACTCGGCTGCCATGTCTCAACCAGTAATATGCATGATTCTCCAATCTTTCCACAGAACCCTCTCGTCAGACAATTGTCTGATAACCTTTGAATTTCTACTACCGGAATATCCTCCTCTTGCCAAGGGTTTCTACAGTCGATGCTTATCGGTTATGGCTGTAGCCTCATTTAAAGAAGCCATTCCTTCTGCTCTAAGTTCAGTGTCCTGTCTCAAGATATCAGAAGACTACTGTGCGAACTTCAGTCCATCCCAGATCGATCATTTTGTCGATGCTACTACAGGCTCTTTGAGAGTGGCGCGGGATGCCATTGCTCCTCTGGAAAGGAGAATGGCAACAAGGAGGTTTGCTCCTTGGTATAACCCTTAAACACGGAACGTAAAGCAAACTGTGCGGAAACTTGAACGGTTATGGCGTTCCACCAAATCAGAAGGATCTAGGCTAGTTTGGCAAGACAGCCTTAAAACATAAGAAGGTTCTCTGTAACTCAAGATTATTACTCATCATTGATAGAGAAAAATAAAAACAACTCCAGGTTTCTCTTCAGCACTGTAGCCAGACTGACAGAGAGTCACAGCTCTGTTGAGCCGTGTATTCCTTTGGACCTCACTAGTAACGACTTCATGAACTTCTTCAATGATAAGATTCTGACTATCAAAGAGAAAATTGATGGTCTCCTGCCTTCAACCAGTGTCGATCTGTCCTCAGATGTAGGAACCTTGGATGCAGCAGTGGGCCCTGATGCCTGCTCGGATGCCTTATTTCTCTTCCATCAACCTTGATCAACTGACTTCTATCATTTCAAAGTCTAAATCTTCTACTTGTCTCTTGGATCCGATTCCGTCTAAGCTGCTAAAGGAAGTTTTTCCTTTAGTTAGCACATCTTTACTAGATATTATGAATCAGTCTTTGTTGACAGGACATGTACCACAGTCCATGGTAATTAATTAAACCTATATTAAGAAACCTACTCTTGCTCCAGAGGTGTTGGCTAACCACAGATCTATCTCTAATATTCCCTTTCTCTTGAAGATCCTTGAGAAATCCGTCGCAAATCAATTATATGGGATTTTGAGTGCATCATAGCACAGAGACAGCACTGGTGAAAATTAGGAATGATCTTCTACTTGCATCGGACCAAGGACTTCTTGCTGGACCTCAGTGCCGCATTTGATACCATAGACCATTGTATCCTGTTGCAGAGACTAGAACATCCTCGAAGACCACCAATGTTGGTCACGGAGTCCCACAAGGTTCTGTACTTGGACCGGTTTTATTTACCCTCTATATGCTTTCTTTGGGCGATCTTATCAGGAAACAATGCATAAACTTCCTGTCTCAAAGTAATGCAGAAAAATTAGTTCATGCATTTGTCACTTCAAGACTGGACTACTGTAATTCTTTGTTATCCGGCTACTCTTGTAAATCCCTTAAGCCTCTCCAGTTGATTCAGAATGCTGCAGCACGTGTATTAACAAGAACTAAGAAAAGGGATCATATTACTCCTGTATTAACTTCTCTGCACTGGCTCCCTGTTAAATCAAGAATAGATTTTAAAATGTACTTCTCCTCACCTACAAGGCACTTGCTGGTGAGGCACCGTCGTATCTTCAAGAGCTTGTAACACCTTATTGCCCTACAAGGCAGCTGCGCTCAATACATGCTGGGTTACTTGTTGTTCCTATGGTTTTAAAAAGTAGGCTGGGGGCCAGAGCCTTCAGTTATCAAGCTCCTGTTTTGTGGAACCAGCTTCCACTTTCAGTCCGGGGGGCAGATTCGGTCAGCTCTTTTAAAGTAAAGCTTAAAACTTTCCTCTTTTATTTTGCTTATAGTTAGGGCTGGCTCAAGTTAGCCCGGACCAGCCCTTAGTTAAGCTGCTATAGGCTTAGACTGCTGGGGGACTTCTTAGGACACACTGAGCTCCTCTCTCACGCTCTCGTTCTACAATAATTCACATTTTATTAATGCACATGACTAATTCAGCTTCTTTCCGGGAGTTTTTTGTGCTTTCTCCCCTAGCAGGTCTCCATAGATTGTAGTTCCTTCTGGACCCTGGTCCTGACACCTGCCGTGGCCGTGCTGACGCCTGCTGCTGCAATCATCATTATTATTTTAGATATTAATCATATTACTGTACTCGTAAACCAACATTACCCTCTCCTTAAGTCTCTGTGCTCTTCCTCCCCACAGGCTTCTGTGGATGGTGGTTCTATCTGATGGTGGTGGTCCCTGCAGTGGTCCTGCTGTGCGCCTGGCTTACTACTCACAATTACTTGAATCATTTCTGTCATAGGAATTGCATGTATTTTACATTGTTCATTCTGTACACATGGCATCCATTGTAGTCTGTCCATCCCGGGAGTGGGATCCCTGCTCTGACGTTCTCCCTATGGTTTCTTCCCTTTTTTTCCCTCTTGGAAGGATTTTTTCATTGTTTGGTGAGTTTTTCCTGTGGCGATGGTGGGTTTCGGGACAGAGGATGTCGTATGTGTACAGATTGTAAAGCCCTCTGAGACACATTTGTAATTTGCGATTTTGGGCTATACAAAATAAAATGAATTGAATTGAATTGGATGAGACCATGTCCTGAATGTAGACTGGACCCAATCCTTTCACAGCATGGTACGTGAACTGTAAAACCTTTTACTGTAAAGTTACAGTAACTTACTGGCAGTAGTTTCAGCTGTAAGATACTGTCAAATTTACAGTGACAGAGAAATAAAGTCCGTTATTGTAATAGAAATGTAAAATGGTGTAATTACAAAAAGGTACAACACATTACTGTTAACAGTTTCACTTGTAAGATGCTGTACAATTTAACTTGTTGATTCAAAATGGCTTTCAGTGTCCGCTCGTTACCACATAACATTAACTGTGAGGCATCTCTAAAATTGAACAAATATGAAAAATAATAATTTCCAACAACAGCCTATTTACAACTTGTTTATAATTTCCAACAACAGCCTATTTACAACTTGTTTATTAGAATAGTATAAGTTTGAAAAATAATATCCAAATAACAAATTCAAATATTCAAGCCAGAATAACATATCCAATCCATTTTGACTTATATAAGTTGAGAAATTATGAAGAGAATCAAATAAAAAATATCCCATATAAATACAAAAAGCAATGTGAATGAGTGAGACACAGACATAGTTGGGTGGTCAGTGAGTGAATGACTGAAATATGGATAAGGATTTGTGTGTGTGTGTTTGAGGGGGTTCTGAACTCTATGGACTGAGTCAGGGTAGTCATACATAGTCACACTCAAAATCCATGAGCTTCCTTAAGAGGGTGTACACATGGGGATTCAGGAATGTTGGTTATTTGGACCATTTTACCGCTCCTTTTGCTGTCCCCGTTCCTTAATGTGCCTTTGTACCTCTCTCCGGGTTAATTCCACGACAGCTTCTGGCAAATATATGTGAGAATGGTGCTATATTTATTGATTAAAATGCTTACTTTCCCTAGGTTTGGTCACATCTTGTGCAAATAACATTCAGGACACTACTAACAATGTACTCCTCTATCAGTACTTTCAAGTAAGCTATCAAATTAGCTCAACAATTTGTCTAAGCTGTAATACAAGTTGCCACACTTCCTTTTCAACTGGACTTTGAATCTTGTCCCCTATCAAGACTGGCAGAACCCTGAGTAGCATTCATTTCTGGACAGAATGTCCAATTAACTTCACAGGATTAACAACAGACAGTAATAACTTTGCTTTATTTTACCTTAAACTTCAAGCTAAGTTCTTCAGGAAAAGTGGCCCATCTGTGCTTTCTGGAAACACTTCTTTCTGGTCTCTTTCTAGGTCATCATAAACATTGGAAGCCTCTGCTTCTTCATGAGAGCACCCTGCTTGCTCAACAGTATTCTCTCCATTAACATTTCCTCTATCTGACGTTGTCGGGCTTAAAACATTATCAACTGCACGTTTATGTGTTTAAGTCTGATGAAAATGGGGATATCACAGTAAAAACTTTACCACAGTTTTGGAATGGACATAAGACTGGTCTTCCCTCTTTAATATGAGTCTTCAAGTGAGATAAACAAACTGTCACACTTTACGGTACAGCGCGGGGGGGGTTGTAAGTGGCATAAGTGTGCTGCTCTCCACACAACCAAAGCCACTCTTTTCACTCCCGGCTCTCTCTCTCTCACTCACTCACTCTCACACGCACACGCAAGGAAACCAGAAAATCATAACATTGTCCCACACAGCAGCTAACAGCGGGATTTCTACAATATAAAACTCATGGGGCCGCACTAACATTAAACTTTCATATTAAGGTGGGGGCAACAAAATATCGTCCCGAGGGCCACAATTGGCCAGCGGGCCGCGAGTTTGAGACCCCTGATCTAACGTGAATGTCCTGGTGCCGGCAAGGAAGGTTGCTTCCTTCAGTCTTGACTCCCTCTGACCTGGATAATCTCTATATAATTGACATTTTAAAGCCAAATGAACAGCTGCAACATTTTTGAGGAATTGAAAGGGATTGCAAAACTCAGCTCTGGCACCTCATTATTTAAGCTTACTTCAAAATGAATATATGTTACTTTCTTTAGATTCTTAGCAGTACCCAGCCACACTTAGCTGTGGATAATGGAAGCAAGCGTTATAACTCCCAGAATGCCTCGCTTTTGCAGCAGTATACTGTAATCTCACAATACAGTAGGTAACGGTTTAAATTTCACTGTAAATTTACATTAAAGTCTTACAGTGTGAGTACCAATGTTTTGAACTGGATGCGGGCAGCCACTGATAGCCGCATGGTAGTTTGAACAGCCTATTAACACTTATGGTTATGGGACTGCAATTCAATAGCCGATTGTAGTTTTCAGAAAGACAGAATTTAAAAGTGTGTAGCTACTTAGTGGACTTTCAACTTTTGTGGTCTTAAAATGGTGTCTGCTTTTTGTAGAGGAATTACTGATATATAGCACCAGATAAGGTTAGGATTAGGCCTAAAGCTGGCAGTATTTGTCAGTTATTGAGCTCTTAAAAGAAGCCTGTGAGGAGCATCTCATGATATGGGTCATTTAGTTCGGAATCTACTATAACCAAAGTTTGAAACATTGATATATTGGATTTATGTCAGGCAGTCTTAACCAGCTGAGTATTCTGGAAAAAAACTGACCAGCTAAGCTGTAACCCAGCTTCTCTTTTCTTTCCAGTCATTAAATAGGCCTCCTGTTTCTTGGAGAGCTTGTCCACAAATGTACAAACCATCGTGTTCGGTCCTCAATGAAAAAGGTGAAACTGCAATGAATGGTCCAATAAAAAAGTATTCTCAGCCCAATCTAAGTACCACTCTGTAATTCATTCCTGCATCAATTTTACAACACCTAATGTTTTTATGATGAGGTTCAACGGTGTGTACAATGAAACCTTTTTTAAACAGTTGTCTCAGTTGGTGTTTGAAAATTGCTGGATAATTTGCACCATTACTGCAAGATACAAATAAAAAATTCTTTAAAAAAAAAATCCTTGACAGCAGATGTGTGTAGATTGAACCAATGAGTCGGACATAAGATGCAATGAAAACTTCTAGTGTTTAGAAGGTGGAGAAGAAAGTTATATCATTCATTATCATTAAGTTCTGTCCCATTAAACAGTTTAAAGATTCATTGGATAAGGATGTGCTTGTTCATAACCCAGCTGCCCAACTTTTATTACATGTCATTTTGTCACGCTTTTATCCAAAGTGACAATAAGTGCATTCAACCATAGGGGTACAAACTCAGAAGAACAAGAAACAAGAAAGTGAAATTTCCCCAAATAAGCCAATTCACATTTTGCTATAGATGAGTGGCGTTATAAGTACATATTCAGTGCTACAATTTGTTAGTCTTTTAGTCGAGGTAGAGTCTGAAGAGGTGTGTCTTTAGTTTGCGCCGGAAGATGTGAAGGCTCTCTGCGGTCCTGGTGTCAGAGAGCTCGTTCCACCATTTCGGAGCAGGACAGCAAAGAGTCGTGATCTAGTCGAGTGTTTTGCGCGGAGAGTGCGGGTCGGGATGTCGGGTTGGACCATGTCCTGGATGTAAGCTGGACCCCATCCATTCACAGTACGTGAGCACCAGTGTTTAGAACTGGATGAGCCACCGGTAGCCAGTGAAGAGAGCGGAGGAGTGGAGTAGTGTGGGAGAACTTAGGAAGGTTAAAGAAGAGTCGAGCTGCTGCATTCTGGATGAGCTGCAGAGGTGGAATGGCGGTAGCAGGAGACCTGCAGGAGAGAGTTACAGTAGTCCAGGCGTGAGATAACAAGAGCCTGAATCAGTACCTGCGCTGCCTTCTGAGTGAGAAGAAGACGTATTCTCCTGATGTTGTAGAGAGTGTATATTGTGTTGTCGCAGTAATGTTGGGAGTCAGGGAAAGTTGGCTGTGGAGTGTGACGCCGAGGTTCCTAGCGGTTAAAGTGGGCGTTAGCACGGAGTTGCCAAAGTTGACCGGCAGGTCCTGGATCGTTACATTACAGGTCATTTTAGCTGACGCTTTTATCCAAAGCAACTTACATTGCATTTTTAACCTATGTACATTTTTGCCTGGGGAGCAATTAGGGGTTAGGTGTCTTGCTCAGGGACACTTCAACATGGGACATGGAGCAGCCTGGTCTCAAATCCCCAACTTTACGGTTCCCAGCGCAGCCTCTCTACCCCTACGCCACGACAACCTCGACAATGACTTGTCTGGATTAGATGTCATGTTTGGACTACCTATCCTATATTTGATAACCTGTGTGTATTCTTAATCTATCCAACTATGGAGGAAGAAAGTAATTATCTACCACCGTTGCAGTACTTGACTGTTAATGAAGTTGGTTGCTTGTTGTTCCGAAGGGGTCACATGTCTTCTCTATCTAGTGTGTGGTAAACAGGATCACATGGTTCACTAAAAAGAAAAAAAGGGCTCACTTGGGATTTCTTTTAGGATTAAGCTAGCTAAATTAAACCTCTGTGTGTGTGTGTGTGTGTGTGTGAAAGGCCACTAAATGTACACTACATGTGTGTGGTTTTGTACTTTTAAAGCTAACTTTGTGAGGATAACATTCTTATCTGGACCTTAAATAAAAGTTTGATTGAGCTCAAAATGAGGGCATTTTTGGAAAGTAAAGCCCTTTTGGCTGCATATTGTGTGATCAAAAGAGTGGAATGTAATGCCAAAAATGTATGTAACCCTTCAAAATGTTTGGTTGAAGGAACAAGGTTATAGATTGCAAGTGCTGGG